ACACTTTTGAGCTAGCAAGTCCAATTTTGGAAAATTATCTTAAGTAAATATTCTAAAAAGTTTACAAAGATGTTAGAAGAATTTCATCATGTCTTTGACTACAACAGTAAAAAACTGGAAACAACCTAAGTATCCAAGGTGCAATTATCCTAAGGTGCAGCCTACACAGATGTTAAAAATAATGTAATTACATATTTACTGATGTAGAAATATATTCACAATATAGTGTTAAAAAGGAAAAAAGCAAGTTATAAAACAGTATGTATAATATATTTCATGGAAAAAGTCTGAAAAGATACATACTGAAATGTTAACAGTGGTTATAATCAGATGGTGTAATAACAGGTGATTTTTTTTCTTTTCACTCATCTGCAGTTTCTTTTTTTTTAAGTGTATATTATTTATGTACCCAAAAAACATTTAAAAAGGGAAAAAAAATAGTACTCTTGGGAGAGTCCACTTATCCACCCCATACTTATCATTAAACTCGTACATTTGATGCAAGAAATATCTTCCCGCCTGTCACATTGTAAAACATTGCTGAAACAATTATCTAAAGTTAGGACTTTCTATTAAAAGTGGGACAGGAGGGTAAAAACAGCAACACATCCCCCATAGCTGCATGTCATCAGTCCTCTGGGCTCCTGCATGGGGTGCCAGGGGTCTCTGTGGCCTGGGAGACCACTCTGCTGCAAAGCCCTGCACTGTCAAAGAGAGTAGGGCACTGTACAATTCCACTGAAAACAAAAGACCCACAAACTCTTCTTCTTGTAATTGGATTCACGAACATATGACATCACAACCATAAATATTAAAATAAAGACTCCTCTTAGGTATACATGGTTTTTTATTGAAAACTCTTCCTTATTGTTTCCTCCCACTTCCCCTTGTTGCTTCCTCCCCCCACACACACACACACACACACACACACACACACACACACACACACACACACACACACAATTCTAAGTTCAGTACAACATTTCACCCAGCTCAAAATTCTTACCCAAGTCTTCTTGCCTTCCCGGTGTTTAAAGAGGAACTAGGAAACCTATATTCTTGAGAGAAGTGTGTGTGGAAAAGACATGTAAATAATACACATTTCTACACAGGATTCCCTCTCCATGCTGGCACCGCCACCATCCCCAGAATATACACTGTTTCTTTGGGGAAGCCATGTACTCAGAAATTAGGGTCCTCTTAAACCATGCATATCATTTAAAAATATATATGAACATCGATTAGCAAGCTTCTAGTTTATATTGCAATTGTTTCAAAATCCAGTGATGTTTCAAATTAATAAAAGAATTATAATTTCTAAAAGAATGAATGGCACAAACAACCCACTTTTGGTTATTAGCAAAGAGTAGCAGCTGGCTCCCTCTTAAGGGGCGGCCTCTTTCCAGTGCCTACACCAAGTCACATCACTGCTGCCTTCTTTCTAAGGGTGCACCTGAGCACATGTGAAGCCCCACAACAAGGTCCCTGGCATGCCCTGTGCTTGGCTCTCATCCAAAGTCACCCCAGTTCCTATGCAAAAGGAGATTTTTTTCTATGGAAAAAGAGCCCTTTTAGCATGCTGGAGTACATCTACGGCGCCCTGCTCCTCCTGCTGGTGGCCCTGGGCCTCTACCCCTGCTGGCTGCTCTTCTGGAACGTGATCTTCTGAAAGTGAGGTCTGCCTGCCAGGATACACAGGCTGGGGCAGGGGCTCCCCAAGCACCCATTCTGCCTCCTTCCTGGGAAACAAACAAGTGTCTGTTTCAAAAAAAAAAAAAAGAAAAGAAAAAGAGTCCTTTTAAAATTGGTAGATTGTGATGCTTCTGGGCAACACACGAACTGTATTACGTTCCACTATGTATGTGATGTTTCATTTCAACGCAGCACATACCAGTCAGGCTGTGCCAACCACCATCATGAAGGCTGTGGTCACCGAGCTTGCAGGGGGAGACCAGCTGCCCTCTATGGGCAGTCTTCCTGGGTGTTGGTCAGGTTCCAATCAACCTGCTCCAATCACTGAGCACGCCTGCTCCCTCCCCAGTTCAGGCTCATCTCCAGAAAGGGGGTGGGCAGTGGACATGCAACGACCCCAGCCAGGGCTCTGTTTATGACTCTGTGATCTCAGGGCCTCCCACTTGTTTTGAACAAACTGCTCTGCCTCCACTAACGCCATCAACAACAAACACAAAGCGAGTTTGTGTTCCACAGAACTGGCCTCTCAGAGTACTCAGAGCATAGACATCATCTTAACCAACACTCTTGGAAAGACCTCTGCAAACCCAGACTCTTTCATAAATGGAACTTACTGTTTGTGATGAATGTAAATGTAATTCTGATTCACTCCTTTGTAAACTGTTCTTTGCTGTGGATACACATTAAAAATAATATAACTGCTATGTGCTCTTATTAGGTACAAGAGAATTTTTTTTTCTCTTAGCACCCAAGGGTCACTAAAGGGAGAACAGTGGTATGGCTCATAGAAAGACACTGGACTGGGGTCCAGGAGACCTGGATGCAGAGTCCATGCTGCTGGTCACAGCTGGATAACTCTGGGTGTGTCACTTTGTCTCAGCTTCCTGTTTGCAAAATGCAGGTAACAATCTCTGCCCTGTTCTCTCACCCAGTCGAGGTCTAAAGTGATGGCATGTAGGAGATGAACCTAATGGACCACCCAAGTTGGAGATCTTATGTGGGCATCACTTCTCTTCCCTCCAAGGCCTGACCACACTGTCACAACCTACCACTCTGGTAGCTTTACGTTCCTGGGCACCAGGAAGATTTCCTCTCCATTTACCACTCCCACCTGGAAATGCATCCTTTTGGATCTTGATTGGATGAAAAGTTACTTTTAGGATCATTATGGTTAAAAGGTTCCAAGTTTACTTGGCTTCTTTCAGGATCCAGGTTTCAAGGATGCAGAAAGAAAGCTAATCAAGGTGCAGAGACAGCCAGTCTTGGAGATGTCAAAATCAGGAGACCTCATATGGAAATGGAAGGTGCTGCGCTGGCTCTACGTCTTCCAGGCAGCACAAGGTGGGTGCGATGTTCCTGAGGGAAAGGCCACGTCCTGCCTGCACTTGGCTTAAGGTCATGACAACAGTACTGAGACTGGGCTGGACACCATAATAAACAATAGCATGTCACACCAGCTCAAGAGAAAACCAATGAATGCAGCGGGTCACTTGCACTGTATGGAGTTCACCCTCCACAGTCGCGGAGGCTGCCAAACAGGGCCAGTCTCTTGACTGACAGTCCAGGTTGTTCCTGGGCCATTATTCTTTTTAAAAGAAAGTAAGTGAGGAAACACTAAGCTCTTTAGAGAGAAGCAGAAGGAAGGGGGGAGTTTAGTGCTTTCGTAAAGTTGTGCTTCCACTGCCGAATCCAACTTACCTTTCACTTTAAAGGGGTCCCTATTGCTTTTAGCTCCTGGGCTCCAACGGTTTTAGAGCTGGACAAGCCCTTATAGTACAAGGAATCTAAGTTCCTCACCTACTACCTACAAGATGCTGCCAAAGTCTTCAGTGGCTGGTGAGCTGGGGTCATGGGCCTCAACTGCACTGTAGCCCACCATGGAAATAGCCCTTCCAATGTTTTCTCCACTTCCACTTCCAACATTTTCTAAAGTTACTGCTATGGGAATGCACGAGTGGCTTTAGCAACTATTCTATGAATATGTCCCCTGAGCATGCTCCAGTCAGTCAAGATAGATCCTTCTAGATTAATAAGTCACCTAATGTACAGAGGTAGCGGTCATCTGAAGACCCGAGTTGAGGGTCTTTGGAGTCCCAGTGTCCACTGCTCCTGGGCAGCCGCATGCTCAGTCTGCCAATGGGTGAACCAGGCTGGCTTGGGAAGAATCCCCTTTATCTCGTTACTGGGCCACAGCACCCACTCAGGGCCAGCCCAGCTCTCTGGTCTCCTGGCACAGCCAGTAGAGAGCTGCTACCAATTGTTGTGAATGCCATCTGGAACTCTAGGGAGAGGGCACAGCCAGCAACACCCCAGCCCGAATCACCAAGAGGGCTGACCACGCTTTCCATTTCCTGTCTGCCAAGAGCCCCCCACTCAGCCTGCAGGGTCTCACCTAAAGGGCCTTGGTGCTCCAGATCACCAGCCTTCCATCCCCATCCCAAACAAGCCCTCCCTCCTCAGAGAGATGGTCTCAGCTAGGGGGCAGCAGCAGTGCTCCTGCACTCACCTTGGTCACCTAACACCTGGGTCACCTGCTTGTGGACCCTACCCCCTAATGAGCTGTTTGCTCATTAATCTAAACTCTGTACGAAGAGATTCTAACCATGTGAGCAAATGTTTCTAGAGGGAAAAGTTCTCTTAAGTGGTTCTCCGAGGGGTGAGGGGGCACCAATGCCTCCGCCTGCCCAAGGCATTTAGAAATGAGTGGCGCCAGGGACTGAAAACATCTTGCCATTGCATGGGCAACCTCTCCCAATGAAGGACACCAACAGCACCCAAATGCCCACCAGCCGCTCTGAGAAGCTCTGTAAGAGAGGAGAGATTTATAGCTCCAGTCTCTTTCTTAGTAGGAACTGAGAAAGGCAAGAGGCAGACCTCCTCTGTCACTAAGGCCAAGGCTTGCCAGCTGAGCTGACTCTCTCTCCCTCATGGGCCTGTGTGATGTCCTTCTCTATTGTCCAAACCATCCCAGGATTGCACCCTAGATCCCAAGCTCTGGGCAGCCCCTACATCATGGACAACTAGTGGTCCTGGAATCCTTGGCCACAGGCCGCCGTGCCTGGAGTGGAAGGTGGTGCCAGGGTCAGTGATCCCCCAGGGACAGAGCATCATGGAAGGGCTCTTGGGGGCCTTCAGACCAGCTCCTGTTTCCACTGCCCACACTGCCCCAGGGCCCCCCTTGTCAACCCCTGGATTTGACCACACAGTGAGTCACGTTCATTTCTGATAACTACCTAGTACAGCAAAGATGGTGCAATGAAGGGCCAACCTCTACTCTGGGGTTTGATTCAAACACTAAATTCCGTTTGTATGTTTAATTGAGCAAATATTTATTAAGCACCTACTTGTGCCAGGCACTGTGCTAGGCACCCTCACTGTGTGCTGTTCCCACAGCACAATCATCTGCTCAGAAATTAAAACCAAGAAAAGGAACATTGTCACAACCGTACAAACTGGGGGCACGAAGGGAGTATTCTGGATGCAGGTGATTCCCCTGCCAGAAAACGCACCCACCGGAAACTTGTTTCTTTCTCTGGATAAGTCGCTACTAAATGGTGTTTTAAAGCATCTCCTTGTTTACTGAGAGGGGAGCTGTTCCCTCCATGCCTGGTGGACGTTCAAATATTCTGAATGCTATCCGACAAAAGAGGCAAGATGGCCTGATGTAAAAAGGATACTGATATTTGGATTAGAAAATACCTTTTTCCAGTTCATACGGTTGCAACAGCCCTTAAGAAAGATATAAACATCCCTGCCCTGACTGCATAAACGTTTAAGGTAGACCTAGTTCTGGATTCCTGAGTCAGAATCTTCCAGTTGTCCACAACCCCACGGAGCCAGAGAAGCAGAGGAGAGTCCTATCCTGGAGAGGGGTGAGTGGGCGGCACAGCTGGTTTGGAAACAGGACAAGCTGCGCCTGCATGTACAGAAGCGACGCAAACAGGAGAACGTCCTAGGCCTACTTCGTTTCACACGCGCACTTGGGACTCACAGCGGGGCCCTAGTTGTCCGTGCCCAGCTTGGAGAGGCCCCGGCGGAGGTCGTGGAGGTCGTCGATCTTCCCGTCCAGCACCTCCAGGAAGCTCTTCAACTCCCCCTTCAGGTGGCGCTGTCGGTACTTACTCTCCTCAATGTCCGTCTTTAGGGAACGCACTTTGTCTTCCAGGTTTTGATTGTCTCTTTCTGCAGCCTGACCAAACAAAAGCGAGAAGGGTCTGGAAAACAGAGTCGTCTACTAAAACCTGCTATAGCTGAACCGATCATTCTCCATCAGACCTGAGGGCCGGGGACTATGATCCCTGGAGACACGGGAAGCCCCGCAACACACAAGCCTGCCACTGCGACGTCAGAAAGGAAGCAGCGGGCATTTCGGTGGGCCCTTCCTTTCCCGCCTTTTCTCCAGTAGAGGGGCCAACGGGCCAAGCGTCTGGCCAACACTCGGCCAGATTGGCCCCACAAGCCAATCGAGGCACATCTGGGTAAATCAGATACCAGGTCCCAAAGACAGGACAACTAAGAGTCCTTAAATGAGCCTTAAGCCTTGCACTCTTAGAGACTTTTTTGAACACGTGCACAGGGCCAGTCACCAATACTGGGGTTGTGCAAGTAAATAAGGTGCTCCTGTGTAGGTTAAGGGGCCTGAAGGGAGAAGCCCCTCAGAGGTGACAAGGACCTAGAAACCCTCATCTTATGGGTCAGAAATCTGAGGCCAGTGAGGAAGGCCTGCCCAAGGTCAGTGCCTGGGGATTGGCTGAGGAGGACTTGAACTCAGACCCCACACTCTCAGCCCACCCTTCCACCCCAGCTCTTAACCACCTCTGTGGTTCTGTAGGACTCCTGTGCGTGGGAAATGGTCCCCTACACTTTGGTTATGAGTAGGACACCTTCTTATAAGTGGAAAAATCAAAAGACAAGCATCACAGAGTCTTCCCCCAGGGGACACGGATGGCAGGCAAGGAAGGTGTGAAAGTGAGAGGGAGTGGATAAATTAGTAACATGACAATTGTCTTCTCATCTGAACCAGGATGGTTGTGCCCCCCACTTACCTCTAACTTCTCTGACACATATTCACACTCTGACATGAGCTGAGGTATGATTTCACTTTGTTTTCGGAGATCTTTCAACTCCTACAGGAGACAGAAATTTGAGAAAGAACATGACAGCAAGTCAGATAAAACGTATCCTTGAAAATCACCAACTTCTGCATACACTAATGGAAGCAGCTTTGCAACCTGTCCTGTTTGCATAAATAATAACGGCGACGGTGCTAATGTAAACATCAGGTAATTCCAAGGGCTGAGTATGTCACATGCATTAGCGCATGAAGTCCATGCACCACCCTAAAAAAGCAAGTATTCCTATAATTCCTGTTCTGTAGATGGGGAAACTGAGGCCTGCGGAGATTTGGTAACTTGTCCATGGTCTCCATCGTGTGTGTACTTAACTGTTCCACCCTCAGAAAATAAATGACAGTATGGCTGGTGACTGTAGCTGCAGTAATTTGACAGTGGAATTCAAGTTCTGATGATAGATTACCTGCAAGTGTCGGAGGGTTCTGTAACATGCTCGACTCATTCTTGGGTCTGAGTGAGTGACTGTCATAAACACAGTGAGGCAGCAGCAGAGGGCAACGGTTAGGCCTTTGCTCTGCGCACTTGCACCTTGGTCAGCTCCTGGCTCTCTCTCTGTGCTGGTACCCAGGCAGCTGCCAGGGCTGGTCACATGCCCCAAGCCACCTGCTGTGTCCTTGGGAGAAGCTCACTCCACAAGGCCCAGAGGATGTGGGAAGTGGGGGGAAGGGTCTGCTCAGAGCACCGTCACCATCACTCACCGTCTCCTTTTCTCGGAGTTCTGACTCCAGCTCCTCGATCCTCCTCTTCAGCTGGGTATTCTTCTCCTTCTCTCTGTTTATCTCACTGCACTGTTCCTCCAGCTCGTCGATCTTCAATAAACAGCACACATTAAGGCAGGGGCGCTGGTGTGCTTTAGTCATTAAACAAGAGATCGCCACAACTATGTTTATGCTTTCTTTTAAAATAAACCACAAACTAACCCACTCACACATTTTTGTTTGTGGCCCCCACCCCTCCCCCATGGGGCTGTTTGCCCCTGCCTGCAACGGATGCCTCACTTCACACCGGCAGAGCCACAGAGCCAGCCGCAGAGCCAGCCACATCTGGCTTCACGAGGCTCTGGCTTCTGGTTTTCTCTCACAGCCACAGAGGAGTAACTCTAGGTTTGCTTTAAGGATCCATCACAAGCACGGGTCAGATGTCCCCTGAACTGATCTGCTTCTCCCCAGAATTTTTATATCATTTTAATCACATCCTGAACTATTCTGTTTCATCTCAAAGGTTTAAGCCAGCAGGATAGAGAACCAAGCAACTCTGTGGAACGGTGGCCACCAAGTGGGAAGCAATGACATTTCAAACACTGTAAATGGAGATGGCCTTCCACCACTGATGCAGGCAGAAGGGGCCTGGCCTACTGGCCTCCTCCCTGAGGCTGAGTGACAAATCCCCAGATTGCACCTTTCTCTTCTTCCCAAGTCGGACCCCTCCGAAAGGTCACCTGTGTGCAATGCAAATGCAAGGCCTGACACCCTGACACTGCCGTCTGAGGCTGAGCATTTCCCAGGGGCCAAACGTGTGTGCAGCGTGGACGGGAGATACGGAACCAGTGTGTGACATGCAAGCACTGTAGTGATGGGACCCCACCGGCAGGCAGCAGCAGTCCTCGATATGAAGGGCGCTGGGGGGTCGCTGTGAGGACACTTCTCAGAGGCGGCATGCACTAACCCTCAGGCCACAGCTGTCACTGCAGACCCCTCCAACTTCCACCTCCAGTCCTGGAAACCAAGCTCCCAATGACATGTCCCACCCAGGGGGGCTGACACTCCTCTGAGGAAGCAAGTGCTGTGTGATGCGCCGCCTCCCCTCTCTCGAGCTGCCTTTGGTTCTTGCACTCAGACCAAAGTGAGAAATGCAGTTCTTTTCCCCAAAAAAGAAAGAAAGGGCAATCGACCCCTCTGGCAGGCAGATGTGCCAGGCCTGGACGGGAACGTGCAAAGTCAGCAACTGGCCTGGTGCCCCTGACTGTCGGCACTCACAGCACTGAGATGGAAAAATGGCATGAGGCAGTTTTAAGAGCCGTTGGCACTAAAGCGAGATGGGAAAACAGAAGGCTGGTCTGCAGTGGCTCCATCTAGGACGGGCAGGGCACATTGTAAATGGGGGTCAAGAGAGAGTGGACACCAACCTAAGTGTGACACGCCCCCCGAAACCCTGCACTTACAGAGCAGGCTCCAAAGCCTAGGGATTAACGGCCTTGCCATCAAAACGTGCTTAGCACAGAGCTAACCAACTGACCTCAGCTGGGGAGGGTCTCTCTGACACCCCAAAACCACCATATCAACTCAGCAGAGCTCCAGAGTGTGAGTGACTAATTGCACGGGAAATTATTGGTAAATTTTGAAAAGTCACAGTGCTAGGCTGCTCCAGTTGGAGAGTAGGGGGCACATGACTGTGGTCAGGACCCACCCATCCCCCTCGTGCCTCCTCTTCTCGCTTCCAAATTTACAGTTTTAGAAATAATGATTTGAATGGAAGCAGGGCTTCTGAGCAATCACTCCTCACCATTTCCCAAATCTATTTTCTCATTCATGCTCTGGATCCCTTTCCTCCACTGAAGACCATTGAAACACAGAAATGCCAAGGGAGGGCCACCACAGTAAAAGGCCAGCCCACGACTGGAGTCAGAGGTGCTCTCTGAGAGGGACAAGCCTGAACTCTCCAGCTCACTTACCTTCTCCTTAGCAATAGGAATGATGAAACTTGGTTCAATAAAAGTAATCAATCACTTATTTATAGGTACATGGTTAAACTCCTAAGAAAGGCAGGGGGAAAGGGGACATCTAGAGGGGAGAGGCGGCACGTCTTCCTCCTGCCCGTGGGGACGAGGGCAGAGGGAGAGGGAGGCAGGGGCAGGAGACGCACTAAGGACCACGGCGGCCCCTCCCCTGCGGCCCACCTTGCTGCGGAGCCGGTCGTTCTCGAGGCGGCAGATGGAGAACTGCCTCTTCCACTGCTCCACGCTGGCCGCTGACTCCTGCAGCGCCGTGGTCAGCCGCGCATTGCTCTCTCGCAGGGTCTGCAGCTCAATCTCCCATTTCTTCACGTTGGCAGCGCTGCGGGGCAGGGGACAGGCGGTGACTGCCAGCCTGCTGCAGCCCCACCCGCTCGGGGGAGGGGAACTCTGACACCCTTCTGACCCGACCCCAGGGGGCCCACACCCTCTCCCACCAGTGGACTGGTGCCTCCCTTTAGCGTGAACATGTCACCTTGCTGGGCTATTTTCTTAAAGAATCGCCTCAGAAGAGCACAGAGTTTTTAGCTAAGAATGAAGGCCACCGAGTGTGGGGCAGGCCCACCCCGCCCCTCGTCCCTGCCTGCTGACCCCTGCTGCAGAACCCTCTTGTGCCCACTGGCTCCTTCCTGCGATAAGACTCAAGGCCAGAGGCTCTGCATTGCTGGGGTGGCCACAGGGCCCTTTGAGAATCTCATGAAAGCCACAGGACATCTCTCTGGAGCCCAAGGACCCCGGGTTTCAACAAGTGAGCAAGCAAACAGCCCTGTTCCAGGTTGATAATGGCACCACTGTAACTTGTGCCTCCTTAGAGCCTTTAAAGGAAGCCAGATTTGAGAGCTTGTAGACAGAGGAGACAGTGACTGGGAATCAATCCCCTGTGGGCAGAACTGGGCTCTAACCTCCGAGTGTGGGAGGCAGCCCTGGCTGACCCCACATCACCTCAGGGGTGTGAGGAGACCAGCGTCTGAGGGACACGTCTACTGTCACCACAGAGGCCTTGTGTTTTCTCTGATTCTATGTGCTCAGTGAGGAAGAAGTTTAAACAAGCAAGCTGTAATCCTGAGTCACTGCTCCCTTCTGACCCTCCTTTAATTTCCTTGGAGCCCACATTTCTGTGGCGCTGAATGTGATCTGAGGTGACGGCAGAGCTGTGCGTGACAAGCCCATCAGAGGCTTCTGCCTGTCTGAGGAGAGTCCTCTTCCTAATGGCTTTTATGTTTTTTTAAAAAATAAATACAACGGTGTCTGAATAATCTGTTATCTTTTATCTCACAGTCTCCAGGACCTAGGGACAAAATTGGAAAATAGATATTTTCAGTTTCATACACCATGGACTGAAAAAATAATAAAATGTTACTATCTGATGAACTGCAGAGTTGATGACTGAGAATTTAAGCTGATTTAGAAAATGGCTTCATGCCCATTCCTGTAACTCACTTGTTCATTAAACTTGGATTTGAAAACATTTATTTTTAGGGGTGAAACATTTTCATCCAGGCAGCCCATTGTGACTTAAACAACCAACCCAAAATAGGCCTCACAACTGCCTGATGAGTAAGAAAAGAGACTGATCACAGTTTTGTTCTTTGAAGTACCTGACAAAGACCCACCGTCCAAAGGCAGGTGGTGGGATCTAAGGGTCACACAGGCTTTCTGGCATTCCTAGGTCAGATCACTGGAATTTAGCTCCAAGCACCAACCAGGCCAGCTGAGTTGAGGTGGGTGCCAGTCCTTGTGGCTTCAGCTGTGGAATGTGACCGGCTGCCTCTGGGAAGGTTTCTAAAGAGACGGCAACTGCATCCTCACTCAAGTGAAATGCAGGTAGCGTGGGGTGATGGGAAGATTTACTAGCCATGCGACCTTGAGAAGGAATCACTTTACCACTTAAAATGCAATTTCCTAATCCATAAAATAGGGAGAATTTAGACATGATGGCTTCCCTTATGAACTGAATGCTGTATTCTCCCCAAATTCATGTGCTGAAACCCTGCCCACTAATGTGATGGTATCAGGAGGTGGGGTCTTTGGGAGGTAATTAGGATTAGATGAGGTCATGAGGGTGGGGACCTCATGAATGGGATCATGTCCTTATGAGAGTCCTCAGAGAACTTGCTTCCTCTCCCTGCCATGTGAGGACAGAGTAAGAAGACTACGGCCTATGTGCCAAGAAGTGGGACCTCACCAGACACCGAACCTGCTATGGCCTTAATCTTAGACTTTCCAGCCTCCAGAACGGTGAGCAAATAAAGTTCTGTTGTTTAAGCCACCTAACGCATGGTATTTTGTTAAAGTAGCCTGAGCTGACTAACACGGCTTCTGAGGTGATACAGCTCTTAAATGGGCAACTCTGAGGAGGGCAGCTTCTCAGTCTAAGGGAGGCTGGGAACGCTGGCTGGACCCCTGGCCAGGTGAGCAGAACGATTCCCACAGACAGGAGCTCGCAGTGTGCTCACGGGCCAGCCTGCCTTTGAGAAAAGAGCCACACTCTCAAGACACAAACACAGAGGTATAGCTCCTGTAGTCACTCGCAATTAAAATCTTACTGCTTTTATAGAGATTATGCTGGGAAATTGATAACTTTTTAAAATATCAAGGCTTCTTACCACCTCCCAGTAGAATATATCTATTTGTTAAATAAATGAGTCATCTATGATCCTCAAAACATTTTAAAGTTTGCTTCACATAGATCTTATACATTTCTTGTTAAGTTTATTTCTATGTGTTTTATGCTTCTAGCTCATATTATGAAGGAAATCTCTTCTTCAAATATATATTCTATTAGGGTGCTTCAAAAACTTTGTGAAAAAATAGAATTGAAAGATAATACGAATCCTTCCAGGAACTTTTTGAAGACCCCTCATATGTGATGTTTTTTGGAGTAGGAAAGCTATAGAGTTTTTGCGTGACTTCATATTATTTTAAATAATTTCTTAGGTTTTTATATGCTTTTTGTGGATTCAAGACTCAATCTTACCATCTATGAATAAACAATAAATTTAGCTCCTCAAAAATAAAACAAAGCACAAACAGAGGGATGCACGACACACTCTCACACGCGTACTCTCTCCACACGCACACTCACCCTCTCTCACACCCTCTCTCACGTACACTCACTGTTCCATATACACACTCACCCTCTCACATACACACACACACACTCACCCTCTCTCACACCCTCTCTCACATACACTCACTGTTCCATATACACACTCACCCTCTCACGCACACTTTCTCACACACTCACACCCTCTCTCTCTCACACACACACACACTCACCCTCCCTCTCTCTCACACACACACACACACTCATCCTCTCACACACAGTCACCCTCTCTCTCACACACACTCACCCTCACACACACAGTCACCCTCTCTCACACACACACACACTCACCCTCCCTCTCTCTCACACACACACACACACTCATCCTCTCACACACAGTCACCCTCTCTCTCACACACACTCACCCTCACACACACAGTCACCCTCTCTCACACACACACACACTCACCCTCCCTCTCTCTCACACACACACACACACTCATCCTCTCACACACAGTCACCCTCTCTCTCACACACACTCACCCTCACACACACAGTCACCCTCTCTCACACACACACACACTCACCCTCCCTCTCTCTCACACACACACACACACTCATCCTCTCACACACAGTCACCCTCTCTCTCACACACACTCACCCTCACACACACAGTCACCCTCTCTCACACACACACACACTCACCCTCCCTCTCTCTCACACACACACACACACTCATCCTCTCACACACAGTCACCCTCTCTCTCACACACACTCACCCTCACACACACAGTCACCCTCTCTCACACACACACACACTCACCCTCCCTCTCTCTCACACACACACACACACTCATCCTCTCACACACAGTCACCCTCTCTCTCACACACACTCACCCTCACACACACACCCTCTCTCTCTCACACACACACACACTCACCCTCCCTCTCTCTCACACACACACACACTCACCCTCTCTCACACCCTCTCTCACGTACACTCACTGTTCCATATACACTCACCCTCTCACATACACACACAAACACACACACACTCACCCTCTCTCACACACACACTCACCCTCTCACACACACACACTCACCCTCTCTCACACCCTCTCACATACACTCACTGTTCCATATACACACTCACCCTCTCACGCACACACTTTCTCACACACACTCACACCCTCTCTCTCTCACACACACACACTCACCCTCTCTCACACCCTCTCTCACGTACACTCACTGTTCCATATACACTCACCCTCTCACATACACACACACACACACACACACACTCACCCTCTCTCACACGCACACACTCACCCTCTCACACCCTCTCTCACACACACACTCACCCTCTCTCACACACACACACTCACCCTCTCTCACACAAACACACTCACCCTCTCTCACACCCTCTCACATACACTCACTGTTCCATATACACACTCACCCTCTCACGCACACTTTCTCACACACTCACACCCTCTCTCTCTCACACACACACACACTCACCCTCCCTCTCTCTCACACACACACACACACTCATCCTCTCACACACAGTCACCCTCTCTCTCACACACACTCACCCTCACACACACAGTCACCCTCTCTCACACACACACACACTCACCCTCACACACACAGTCACCCTCTCTCTCAAACACACACACACACTCACCCTCTCACACACACAGTCACCCTCTCTCAAACACACACACACACTCACCCTCTCTCACACGCACACACTCACCCTCTCACACACACATTCACACACACACTCACCCTCTCTCACACACACACACTCACCCTCTCTCACACACACACTCACCCTCTCTCACACACACACACTCACCCTCTCTCACACACACACACTCACCCTCTCTCACACACACACTCACCCTCTCTCACACACACACACTCACCCTCTCTCACACACACACTCACCCTCTCTCTCACACACACACTCACCCTCTCTCTCACACACACACCCACTCTCTCACACACACACTCACTCACCCTCTCTCTCAAACACACTCACCCTCTCTCTCACACACACACTCACCCTCTCTCTCACACACACACACTCACCCTCTCACATACATGCACACTCTCACACTCTCACATTCACGCATGAACTGATGCTGATGTTCTGAGCAGGACCTAATCTTCTCTTCCAATTTCCTGGAACCCTGACCAGCAGGAAAGGCTTCAGAGAAGTGCAGAACGTAGAGAAAATAGGATCTGGATTTTAAACAAATCTTACCTCTGTGTCAAAGCAATCTTCAGCTTGTCATTCTCAGACTTGAGGTGTGTGTCAGCTGGACCCACGTGAGAGGCTTTTTCGTCATCCGTCCCATTGACACTGGATGCCTGAGTAGGAGATGGGGTTTCACACCCAGATTCCTGGCCAGAGTGAATTATCTTCACACTTTATTGCTCGTCCTCACATTGGCAGCACATTAGGCACAATGAGAAACTATGTGTTTATGCGTGTGGATGAACCAACACATCCAACCTGAACACAGCCAAGACTAACAAGTAAAAACAGCTAGCAAAGGCCATCAACAACAAAGACAAGGCCCTGAAGGCCCGCAAGGAGTTCATCAAGCCTGCGCACTCTGCGGACGAGAGAACACCTGGGACCCCTGCTCAGAGCCTTTTTACTCAAACCTTGTAGAAAAACCTACCAAGATTGGACACCTGGTCTCCTTAAATACAATGAGACAGAAGTTACAGGGGAGGAGGGATTGTCATAAACAACAAGAAACAAGAAATAGTGAATGGGGGCAGAAGAAAAAGCACTAGACGATGAGACAACTTAAAGATCCCGGGGCTATGGAGAGTTACATCAACTAACTAGTCATTAAAAAAACCAGGAACCAGATATGGATGTTTGTGGTCTCCCTTACTATTTAGCGTTGTTACGAATATTCTGAAGTGTTTTCTGTAATAAGTCATACCACATGGAGGTGAAATCTCATCTGGTGTTGGATAAGGTCTTAGAAAGATCTTATTTAGCCACCAATAAGCATAAAGGCAAAGGAGGGAACCAGAAGGGAATAAAGTATAAATTTGACTAATTTTAAATTTCTGCATTGCAAAAAAATGTCACAAACAAAATTAAAATGCAAACAAAAACCTGGGGAAAAAATACTTGCAGCACATATTTAAAACAAAATGTTAATACCTTTCATATGTTGAAAAACTCTTAGAGTTCTCATCTTTTAGAGCTACATACTAAAATATTTATGGATAAAATGAGAAGACATCTGGGATTTGCTTTAAAATATGGGGGAGGGGTTTGCAGTGGTAGGGCACAGATAAAACAATTGGTTGTAAATTTCTTTTTCGGGGGTGGGGGGTGGCTTGCCAGTACCATCATAAATTCCTGTAAAAGCTGACCTGTGGGTACACAGAGATTCATTATACAATGCTGCCTAGCTTCATATATGTTCAACATTTTTCCTGTTAAAAAATAAAGCTCTTGGAAATCAACACAAAAAAAGATGAACACATTAACTTTTTTTAATTGGTATTTATAAAAGAAGAAATGCATACAATCAATAAATTAAAAAATTAATCTCACTAGTAAAGAAATACAAAATGAAAGGATGCCAGTAAGATACATTTTTTCATCTGTCAAATACACAACAAAGCTTTGTTGTGAGGATGTGGGAGGACAAAGCCTTATTCACTGCTGGTGGGAGTCAGGTTGTACATTTCTGTAGGCTGTTTGCAGTATGCATCAAAAGCTTTAAAATGTCCCTATCTTTTTAACCCAGTATCTCCATGTCAAGAATTTGTTCTGTGGAAACCATCAAATGCACAATGATGTACAAGGGCATTTACGTTAATAAAATATTAAAAACAAGATAAGTCTAAAATTATAGGAGGTTAATGGAATAAGTTGTGATAGTACAAATACTGGAAATACTGTTTAGCCATGAAAGCAATTTTGGAAAGAAATATCTGAAAACATAAGGAAATGATGGTGACATAAAAATTCTTTAAAAAGGTTAAGAAGGGTAACATAAGAAGTATACTGGAAAACTATATTAGAAAGATACACACCAAAATACTAACAAAATGTCTTCAAGCTGTGAAAGAGCAGGTGATTTTTATTCCCTTTTTTAACTCAGAGTTCTCATCTTTTTTTATTTCTACAATTTTTTTATTTCTACAAAAAACATGTATTCCGTTTACAAATTTTATAAATTTTTTTGTGGGGGTGACAAAAAACCCTACATTAAGTGTTTTTGTAATTAGGTTGTTTAAATCTTCAACAATTTGGAAAACTTGGTCAAAGTGTTAATTCTAATAAAGATAAAAAAAATGTACAATGATCTCTATACCTGGAGAAATATCAGGAAGGGTAAATAAAAACTAAAGCTTAGAGACAAAAACCCACTTCTACACAATTAATACATATAAAATCACAATTTACTGGGTATACTTGATTTTTTTAAGGTTTAAAATACTTGGGGGGAACAAACATTAAAATAAAACCTTATACAGATAAATTCAGATATTAAAGTTTAGAAATATCAATATAATATGTGATATTCAGAAAAAGACGGGTTTTGTTTGTTTGTTTGTTTTTTCCTTTTTTGTCTTTTTTACTGACCAGTAATGGGATCGCAACCCTCGGTGTCGCGCCCGTACCGGGGACCGGCAACGGGATCGCAACCCTCGGTGTTGCGCCCGCACCGCGCTCAGCCAGTGAGCGGGAACCGGTCTCCACGTGGGATCCGAACCCTCGGTGGGAGCGCCGCCGCGCTCCCAAGCGGCGCACTCTCCAGTGCACCACCGGGCCGGCCCGTTTGTTTGTTTTTTTGGTGGCTGGTTGGTAAGGGGATCCGAATACATGACCAGGGTGTAAATAGCACCATCTAACCAGGTGAGCTAAGAGGCGGCCAGATGGTATTGTTAAAAACTTTCTAGACCATGGATCATTTTGGATGTTCACTTTTACAGATCCTCAGTAGTTACTCAGTGTATAAAAATTAATCAGTGTATAAAAATTAATAGTATCACTTAGATTATATTAATGATTATTTAGAAAGATTCTGGAACATTCCTGTCCACCTGAATTCTAACATTCATTTCTATGCATCCATATGAGGCATCTTTTTTATGATGATTCCAGGATAAGGTGCTGGGAATATAACTCAAGACAGACATAGGTCTGCCTTTGTGGAACACCCCAGCACCAAATCTCCCGCCCTGAGGACCAGCGCAGCAGCCCACAAGCCCAGGTCCCACTCAGCATTCTCTCCCCCTCTCTCTGAGCACTGATGTGCTGAGTGTGCATCTTCCTTGGGGGCTCAGTGATGCGGAAATTTCTCCTCTGCTTTTCTTGCTGGCTCCATTCCTATTACAGGGCTCACTTCCCAGGGCTCTAGCTTCTGCCCTCATCTCCCCATTGCTGCTTGGTGCACCCAAGGCTTCAGCCGTCTCTTCTGTGAGGCTGATGGTCAAGTCTAGAGTGCCGATCTTGACTGCTCCTGATGCCCAGACCTCCTGGTTGTCTTCCTATGAGCTGTTCCCTACATCTGCCCCTTCTTTCTTTGCCCTGTGGCCGCCCTGGCCCAGCCATTCTCCACCACACAGCCTCCTTACCACCTGCATGAAACCCTCATGACAATTCCAGATCAACAGTCTTCAGACACCTCCAGTGTCCAGCAACTGCCCAATACAGGCTGAGCATCCCAAATCTGAAAATCCAAAATCTGAAATGCTCCAAAGTCTGAAATATTTTGAGCACAACATGACATCACAAGCAGAAAATTCCATACGTGACCTCATGTATGTGGTTGCGGTCAAAACTTTGTTTCTTATGCAAAATTACTTAAAATACTGTAGAAAATTATCTTTAGGCTACATGTATAGGGTATATATGAAAGATAAATGAGTTTCGTGTTTAGACTTGGTTCCCAGCCCCAAGATATCTTGTTATGTACATGCAAGTATTCTAGAATCTGAAAAAAATCCGAAATCCGAAACACTTCTGGTTCCCACCATTTCGGATAAAAGATACTCAACCTGTAATAAATAATTAAACAGCTAATAAATAATAAACTACCCTCTAATAAAGAATTCACAGTATCTCCAGCACATCTACATGCTTCCCACAGCACACCTCAGCCCCAGCCAGGCAGACTCCTGCAGTCTTGCTAGTATGAGGGTACTTCAAAACATTCATGGAAAGATTCATATTATCTTTTACTTCTATTTTCCCACGAACTATGTGAAGTACCCTCATACATCCATGCTTATTCCTGACCCTGAATCTTTGCTCCTGAAGTCTCCCTTTCCCTGTCTCTCTACATATAACCTTGTCACAAGGTCAAGCCTTTCCCCACCACCACCTACACCAATCTAGACATCAGCAATGCTGATATTTTTATGTCAGGTTCAAAGAGGTCCTTTTCAGTCAATTATCACACTTTGAAGTAGGCACACTGCTTAATTTTTGGCAAAGCCAGATCTCCTCTGCCTAACACAGTGTTGTTAAAATACCATCTCCTACCTGACTTCTGTTAAAATAGGAAGAAAGACAGAAGGGCTCTCTGGCATCAAGTTTTCTTCCTCATTCGCACAAGGTACATGCATCTGCTGATGGGCATAGTACATACAGAACTCACTTCCCAACACGGCAAGGAGACACGCTGCCCTGCCACGGCATTTAAACATGGTGACTGCAAAATGTCTTCAGGGGCCGGGGACATACATTAACTCAAATCTCATCAACTGTTGTCTGTCAAAAATACAGTGCCACATCCTGAAAAATTCCAAAACATGTCACATCCACCTCACTGTGAGCAGGCTAACGGATGAAAAAGCCTTCTAAATGTCTGACTGCTAAAATCCCCTACTTCTGGCCTAAAGTAACAAGGAACGAAGAATCTCAATCCCTGGTCACACCTGGATATGTTTTATGGACAAATGACTTACTTGGGAATGATTACTCGAGGTCTCCGTTTTCTCCTGGGACTTGTCTCTGGCTACTCTGGCAGCTTCTTTCACCTCCTGGAATTTCTCTGCAAACTGAATATGAAGAATAGTTATTAAGGTCTTTTGTTTGTTTGTTTGTTTGTTTGTTTTAGTTATTAAGGTTTTGATTAATATTATTCATGGCTGATACTCAGAACCCACCTTCATTATTTTGCATCTATTTTAAGCCAATAAATTCTCTGTAAATCCAGAATTTTATTTGATATTAAAAAGAAATGAATATAAGGAATGCTTTTTCCAGTAAACACTATTGGCCAAGGTCAGACCTGAACCAATTTCTAAGCTACTGAAGCTAGTTTGATGATGAAGTATTAAAACCAAACAAAAACCTCAGGTTAACATAACTAATGCAAAAGCAACAAGAGAAATTTAGCTATACCACAGAACGAATCCATGAAAAACTTCACAGCACATACTGAAAAGATCCAAGAATTCTTATAAGTCAATATCATGAAAAATAAAAACACCCCAAAAGTTGGGAGGAGGGAGCTGTTCTAGATTTTAAAAGACAAGGTAGTAAAATGTAACATGTAGCCTACGATTGGATCTTGTTTTGAACAGATCAACTACAAAAAACTTCTGGGGCACAACTGGAGAAATTTAAACATGGACTGGATATTAGATGATATCAAGAAATTTTTATTAATTTTGTTATAAGTGCTAGTGATGTTGTGGTTATGTTGGAAATGTCATTTTTTAAAGAGATGAATACTAAATATTTAGGGTGAAATCTCTTGACGTCTGTAATTTACTCCAAAGTACTTCAATGGCAACAATAAAATAGGTGAAGAAATGTGGCAAAATCTTAACAACTGTTAAGTGTAGGTGATGTATATATGGGTGTTCATTATACTATATGCCCTCTACTTTTCAATGTTTTAATATTTCCATAATAAAAACATTCAATATATAGGATTCATATCAGCCACTGGCTTATAGTCCTTGACAAGGCCACGGATTTGACTTTATTTTTTTGGGTGGCTGGCTGGTACCAGGATGAACACTCACCCTTGGTGTTATCAGCCCCATCCTCTAACCAAGTGAGTTAACCAGCTAGCCCTAGGCCTTGGATTTTAATCAGCAAATACATTGTTTGAATAGAGAACAGACTGTGATAGATAATGCTGGAATTCCAAAGCAAGAGAGAGCTAAATGTGATTGCTGAGAAACAAAAAAAGCTAGAAAGTTGCAAGACTACCTACAGTTCTGTGTGTCGTGCTGAGAACTCATTTATTTCTGAGCAAAGTCTGTCCTCTGAGTATATTCGCAATGTGATAACAGCTGTCTGCTTTGGGAAATCTTGCCAGATAACAGATGCTGGTGAACCCGGCGCCCCAGTCTAACAGAAGAGGTCAGCCTTTCTGTTCTGGCCTGTATTGCTCCTGTAAGCCCTGTAAATAAAGCCGCAGTCCTGAGGCTTCATATTTAACCACAGAAAAGCTGTCAGGGGAAATTACACTACCTGTTGCTTAAAACATGTGAGGTCCAGCAGGGATGGATAAAGCCCCCCTACTGCTCCTCCTTTTCAGGGACCCCTCAAGTGAAAACATCATGTTGTGATCTCCTTGCAGGCAGGGTCCACCCCATTCCTCTTTGCTCCCCTCCCCCACCTGGCAGAAAGCAGGCACAGATAATTCTGTTCAGAGAATAAATGAACTCTGGGTTCTGGCTTGCACATTCCCGCCTACTTAGAAAGAAAAAAAAAATCAAGTCAAAGACTTGGTTCCTGTCCTCAAACTCTGAGTCTGTGGAAGATCTGGTTTATATTCAAACGGGTGAGAATCAAAATGAAAATTTCACAAAGTAAGCTTAAACTATAATGAAGTAGGATAAGCCTTATCAGATACATTTAAAATAATTATTTAAAAAGACATGGCAGGTGTATGATGGAACAGAACGAACAGGTGAGGAAGGGGCTCTACCATTTACATAAAAATTAGCTTATGACAAAGGAGGAATCATGAATTAACGTGGAAGATTATTCAACATACGATGATTGAGGTAACTTTAGTAATCTGGGGGGAAATGAATTTAAATCCTTACCACAAACCAGTAGCATGACAAATTATTGATGAGTTAAAGGGTATTTTTTAAAAAATCAAATCTCAAAGAATACGAATGCAAACAGAATTGAATATTCATCAAACTTCTGCTTGATGGGTGGGAGGGTAATATTTTAAACCTAGAAGAGATAAAAAAAAAATTACAAAAGCGACAGACTTGACTATATAACAATTTAAAATTTTTGAGTATAAAAGGAAAAAAACTAAACAAGAAGGGAAACAACAGCTTGAGGAATATATCTATAGCTAGGCTAGTACAACAGAAAAGGGGCTATTATCTTCAGTACAGAAAGAGTCTGTATAAACCGAAAAGGAAAATATGAAAACCACAAAAGATAAATGGCAAAATTCATGAATAAAAAAATACAGTAACTAAACAGCTTATAGAAAAGATCATTCAGCTTTACTGGAAACACAAATTGAAATAATGAGGTCCCATTCTTTGCCTGCTAGATTAGCAAACACTAAAGACAATTATGATACCCAGAGCTGGCAAGTCACTTCCGGTAGCATTGTGCACTGGTACAGCCCCACTGAGAAGCAATTTGGAAATGTGTTTTATGAGTGAAAAAAATGTTCACACCTACTGACCCAGTGGTATCACTTCTGGGAAACTATTTTGTGAAAATAATTGAGAATATGAAAAAGGCCTTCAATATAAAGATGTTAATTCTAGCATTATCTGCAATAATAAAAAACTGGAAGCAATCCAGAGAGCCCGGGAGAATGACGGGGAGGTTTCCTCTCACAGCCTCCAACTGTTAGAAGAAAAGCACCAGTCGAGAAAGGCACAAAATGATTGTCCTTTGGTGAAAAGTCCCCTCCCTCCGAGTCTGAAGTTTTCTAATATTTCCCCCTTATGAGAAAAAGCACACGTTTGTAAATTTGAAAGATACAGTTTAGAAAAAAATATTTTTTAAAACCTATTGTCCCATCACCCAGAGTTAAGCGCTAACCATATAACCTCTTGATATTTTTCTTTCTGTATATATGCATTCATTTCACATAACTCCAAAAAAATGAAATAATATTGTACATCTTAATTTATAGCTTCTTTTGAAATTAACAATAGGACTTTAATACTTCCATGCAATTATATGATCTTCCACTACATTATCTTAATTGCCACACAGTATTACTCTGAAGAAGATACTGGAGTTTATTTAACCAATTTCCTACTGCTGGATGTTTAAGTTGTTTCTCTTTCTCTCTCTTTTTTTTTTTTGCTTGTTGTTATAAATGATGCTGTAAGAAAAACCCTTGTAGGTACATCTTTTTACTCAGTTACAACTATTTCCTTAGAATAGATTCCTGTAAATGAAACTCAAGGATCAAAGGATATTCAAACCACAAAGGTTTCTTTCTTTTTTTTTTTTTTTTTAAAAGATGACCGGCAAGGGGATCTTAACCCTTGACTTGGTGTTGTCAGCACCACACTCTCCCAAGTGAGCGAACCAGCCATTCCCATATGGGATCCGAACCCGTGGCCTTGGTGTTATCAGCACCACACTCTCCCGAGTGAGCCACAGGCCGGCCCAAACCACAAAGGTTTCTGAAATATGTTGCCAAATCCTCATGTTTTTATTTATTAAGGTTGTTTTCTGCAGTTTTTAAAGTTGTGGTAATAATTTTAATCAAAATCCTCATCATCACTATCATGACAGAAAATGAGAGGCTATTACTGGTTGATTTTATTTGTGGCATTTTTTGGCCTTAGCCATTGAAGACCTATGGCAGACAATACTGTTTGCTTATTCAAAATCTATTTTTTTCTTTTCCCTTCATTAACAGAATCTCAAATTTATCTGGAGCAGGAGATTTCCTAGGTGCTAGAGAATAAGAGCTGATCTAAGCGGATCATGGCGACCCACTTCCCTGTGGGTTTTTTTGGGGGGGGTAAGGAGGGATGGTGTCCTAGGGACCCAGAGCTGACAATGGTACCCAAGAAGAAGTCTGCCAGGGCAGTTTCCAAAGGAAGTGCTATGCTGTCACCCTTCTACCTCCTCCTCTTGCCATGAATGCAGATGTGATGGATAGAGCCTGAGAAGCCATCTCATCACCATGAGAGAAAGGCCATAAAAGAAAAAAGAAACAAACGAGAAGAAGCTACACAGAACCCGTGGACCCAACACCACTGAGCCATTGTACCAATGCCAGCAGCCACCTGCCTAGGGACCGCTCTTCTGAATGAGAAGGGTGACCCTCTTTATTTAAGCACTGTGATTAGGTTCTCTGTTGCTTGCAGCCAACATCATTCTAACTAAAACCTATCAAAAGAATGATTAATATCGTCAAAAAAAAAAAATTGGCCCTTAAATCAGGAGACAGAAAAGTAGGATAATGTTGTTGAGACAGGACAACTACACTGAGTTTGAAGTGCACGAGGACAAATTCCAATTACAGATGAAATCACTGAGATGGGTTGACATCAAATGTCAGATGTGTATCAGGGTGTAGACGGATCAACCATGGAGCACTAGCGACCCCATCCTGGGTTGCTCCCCCTTCGTGGCAGAATGTGTTTCCTTCTGTCTGTGATGAATGAGACGGAGCCGAACTTAGAACAGTGATGACGTCAGGCCAGACGCCAGAAAGAATCCAAACTTTAAAAACTGGCTCGTTCTCATACTGGTCTCTTGTCAGAAGCTCTTCTTTTTATCAGAACTTTCAAATCCCTTTTCAGCATTCTTCAGCAGGCTGAGGTATTGTCTCTCCAGTGGGCAGACAAGAGCCCCAGTTTACTTCTGGGGATACACAGCTTCTATTGTTTTTAGAAAGCCTGTCTAAAGAGCAGAAACTCTCCCTGCAATACTCTGGGGACTGTGGTTGTGAAGTGATCCTTATAACCAGTAAAGACCAAGGTAACTATTTTCCTCCTAGGGGGTAGAGAGAGAAGTATATATGAAGTGTTCTTAAATAAAAATGTCCACACCGGTGTTCCTTTCTTTAGCCTAGTTACAGTGTTTGATTACCAATTCCCCGACAGGTCTGTGGGTGGCTGCTCTGGGAAGTTCTGCTCAGGAATACTTAGCCACAGCTGTCCCCTCAGCACACTCCTTGGGAACACTGTAGGTCCAAGTTTCTTCTGAGCTAGCTAATTGCCACTTGTCGAGACTGCCAGCCTCACTTCATGGTAATTTATCAGTGTGTGGTTAATCGTCCCCTTCAAAGAGAAGCGGATAAGTTGATTTGAGACATTCTGGACAAAGGGGACATCTGAGGGCTTACTGAGAAGCCTCTGTGACAATGGCAGATCACAGTCACAGAGCAGGGACTCCTGCACTGCCAGAGACTGAGTGACACAGGAAGCTGGGGCACTCCTCCTTAATGGTAGGACATTTTCTTCTGTCTGGGAAAAATTAGAAGTGGCCACGCCTGGAAGCAGGCACAGCTCAAGGTCTCTTCAGTTCTCAGAGGCACAAGGAATTGAACTTGAACAACTTGTTCTTGTTTTTGTATGGAGTTCTCCCTTCTTTCCATTCTATGCACAGAAACTTTCCCCCTTCCTCCTTCCTGGCTACTTCGATTCCTCCAAAGATTGAAGAAATTGTTCCAGGCAGCTGTGAGTGATTCTCTCTACAGAAGAACTTCTGGCCCTGGGTGGCACCACAAGCACGTGACCAAGAGGGGCCTGGCCAGGACCCCGTCTCTGACAGAAGCTTCCCCGGGGGCCTGAGGCTTCCAGCCCTACTCGCCTGGATATGAGGCAGGTGCGGGAAGGGGCCACCAGGCAGTATGTGGGAGTGTGCTCTCACACCAGCCCCTGCCCCACCAGGCAGGGAGAAGCCACACAACTGCCACTGGCCACATCAGACAGAGGTTCCAGTGAATCGTCCCTTCAACAAGTCACCATCACACTTGCTTCTGCTTTCCTGTTCCCCACCTCAGACATGGGGGCACCATCGTCCACCCATCCTCACCCCGGAGTCTCTGCCTGCCTTATCTGCTCACCACATTCTGCCAGTTTAGCTCCTCCACATTTCTAAAATCTCTCCAACTTTTACTCCACCCCTCATCAGCTCTACCCTGGACTACAACAATCTCATCTGACTTGCTGCCAGAAAAAAAGTCTACCTAAAATGTCAATCTGATCATTCTCCTTCTGGGCCATAAAATCCTTCTCAGGTCATAGAACAGAGTACAGAAACCCCAGCTTGACCTACAAGGCCTTCCCAGGGCTGGTCTCTAGCAGCCTTCCCCACCCCCAAACACCTGGGCACTGTCAACAGCGAACTGTCTGCAGTGTCCCACACATCACACACAGCCGTGGTTTCGCTTGTGCTTCTCCTGTCGTCGCGAGGACAATGGAAAAGGGAAATCCTGCTCCCTGTGGGTATGCCTTTGGAACACCTCATTGTGCCATGTGCACAGGAGACGTGGCTTGGATCTCGGGATCCACACTGACCCTGGTGAAATAGTTAAGGGCATAGCTGCGTGGGTAGGGACCGGAAAGAAACAAAGTAGGATAGCTGGTCACAAAGATTTGGGAAATAGCCATGTTAATGGGCCCAAATGGAACCAGAGCCTGAAAAGAATCACGTTCCACATGAATTTTCTTTAGAAGTCACCACGCTTTGTAGCAAAAGAGAATCCTTCAAACTAGGTGGCAGGAAGGGCTGCTCTATGGATTCCAAACACCCATTCACCTCCTCCACGCAGCCTGGTGCTTGCTCAAAAGACTTACAGACACACTGGCCATGGTGCCAGGAAAAAGGTGCCGCATGCCCTTGGAAACACATACTCCCACTCTCCACAGCCACCCTGACATCTGGCACTGCTAAGCGTCCAGCTGCCAACTCAGTAACCCACCCTGAGCATCACATCCCTAATTGACCAGCCAACTCCCTGGTGAAAACTGATTACACTGAGCCCCTTCTTCCAGAGGAAGCAGTGACTTCTCACTAGAACAGACACTTACTATGAACTGCCAAGCCTCTGCCAGCCCCACCATCCACAGATTTACCTAATGCTTTCTATGCCACACATCACTGCTTCAAACCAGGTGAGTCTGCTGATAACTCACTTCTCTGCAAAGGAAGTGAGGCAAGCATCTAATTGCCGCAGGATTCTCAGGTTCTCTCGTGTAGCTTATCAGCCAGAAGCAGCAGGCCTTGCAGAGCTCCGCTGTGCTTGTGCTTGCTGGGATGTCACACGTTCCAGAGTCATCATACACAAGCCCAGGAACTGAGGGATTGGGGATGGGGAGGATATCTCCCATAATTATAGCTAATGACCTACCCTCGAGATTTTTGTTTCCTGCCCCATGTTTCTGGGACCTGGTGATCGGGAGGTTTTAGCACCCAGGAAAAAGTGCTTCTGTGGGTGAGTGGCGTGAAAGTGGCACTCAGAGTTCCCCCAGGCCATTCTGGGTCTCTCAGGCTTCTAAGGGAATGGAGTCCTCATGGAAGAACTCTGGGATTCAGAGAATAGTCTATGGGCTGTCACCATTAGGGAGTTCATTTGTGACTGGGTGTAGAATGTCTGGATCTGTGAGATGGGGGCCTCCTTAGAAGTGTGTGTGTGTGTGTGTGTGTGTGTGTGTGTGTACATGCGTGCATGTGTGTGCATGGACAGATGGACATTGCAAATTAGCAGGCTCCTGTCAGGAAGGCTTCCTGACTCACCCTAATTCCCCCCTCTTTGAAAATGGTCCTCAGTATACACATGAAACCCCAAGCATCGTGTTTGTACTAGGCAACTCTGCCAATTCTCCAAGAATCTGGAATTTTGTGAAGCTCCCTGGGAACAGGGACCATGTCTTTGCATCCTCAGTGCCTAGGACAGACTTGCCAGCCAGTTGTTCAGACGTTCATGGCAACGGTCTTGAGAAAAACAACTCCTAGAACCACGTTTCTAGAAGCTGGTCGGGCTCCAGCCCTTTCTGAGGCCTGAATTTTCAGCTCTCCCTTGGATTTCTTGAGACACTCTGACATTCTTCTGACAAATTCCTGTGTCATGTAAACTAGTCAATCTTACTTTCAACCAAAATATTCTTAATACCTACACAGGGCTTTTCTACCCCCCTAAAAGAAACTTATTCTCCTAAAAGAGGCTTTTAGACCCTTTCGAATTGCTGAGTAAGGTCTCTCAGAGGCGATCAGTTTGTTCCCTCAGATCCTGAGGTTCTCTAAGTCATTTTCCCAAATTTTTGTCACTGTGGTCGGCCATGATCTGCTCCTCCACACCTTTCTAACCATCCACAGGTGTGTCCCAGACCCCTGGAGAATGGAATCAAAGCTATGAAACCTCTCCCTAAAACAATGACACATATACACACAAAACACTGTGTGTCATTTAAAGGGGTGTAGGGACTCCCGGTTAAGAACCCTTATTAAGCATTACCTCATTCCCTCCCTCTATGGGCTCAAACCCGAGAGTCCCCAACATGGATGGCTCTCAGAGACAAATTGTGCCATCCTTTGAAAGATGTAACAAGTTTATTTCATCAAGATTCACTGCTGGCAGCAGGAATACAGCCTCTTCCTTGGACGTCCTATGATAATAAACTCCAACTGTTCCCTCACATAGGAAAGTCACCTTATTCTCAGAGTTCCAAAAATCCAGTCAACCTGATTTCAGCAAACAGGCCAACCCCTCCATGTGTACACTGATGCTGCTGTGCACAGCAGCTGACCCCTGTGGGGAAGGATAGACTGGCCACGTTGCTTTCTCACGCTGCAATTTCAGGCCCTAAAGAAGCATTTTTGTTAGGTCTTAATTTCCCTTCCCCAAACAACTTCAAGGAGCCTGGCATTTCGAAAGGGCAACTGCTTTGGCAGCCCTGCCAGGCCAGAAGGGGTGAAATCAAAAACCAGAAAGGAATCCTGTTCACCAAGGGCACCGCTCCATCCCTCGGTGGGCAATTACTGAATGAGCGCAGCGTCCACATGTTATATACTGTACTGTGGAAAGAGCACATTACCTTTGTTAGCTGCTGCTCGGAGGAAAATCCCAGACCAAACACTGTGTTGGCTCTGCTGTCGGCCCACTGCCCAAACTTCTGTGACGTTTTGGTGAAAGTCATATTTGGTGTGATTGTGCTGTTTATGATCACCTGCAGAAAAACAGCCCAAAGAGTAGAAATGTAAACACTGAATTAGACGCAGGGGTCACTCCTTAAAAAGTCTTCTGCTGGCAAAGCCAGCACCTAGAGCATGAGCATGCTCCTGTGCGCTGTTACATTTGGTCCTGAGTTGTTTTGGCACCTTCCATGCTGAGTGAGATACACAACCATGAAAAGGGACCATTTCAGAGACTTAGCACAGTCAGTTTAAAATAAAACCTTATACATTATCAGCAGGAGAGTCTCTCCTAAGAAGAGAATAAGAAGAAAATAGTTTCTAAAACTGCTATTTACTTCCCCAAAGCTGCCATGCTTACTGGCTAGCTATGTCACCCATTCTCTGAAGAACTGTACTAGGTGCCTTTTTTTTTTTTAATAACGTCTGGCCAGTGTGGAGATCTGAACCCTTGACCTTGGTGTTAGAACACCATGCTGTAACCAACTGAGCTACAGGTAGCTTTTCTAATCACCTGGAGCCCTGGTGTCCACATCAAATAATTTAAAATCTCCATAAGCAATTGGGGCATGCTGCTTCACAATGGGAATGAGTATGTACACTCCAGTTAGGATAATTTGTACAGGGTTAATTTACAAAGAGACTAATTATACAGTTGTGAGTGGGGTATAAGAAAACTGTGAGGGATGGTGCAGGAGCCTGCTGCTAGCTGTCACCACTCTGTGACCTAAAGAATAAAGAGTTGGAGAGGCTACAGAACCCGGAAGGAGAGAGTCACGTAGAGCAGGCTGCCTTGAACAGAGAGGTGACCTTCTGTTGAGAGACAGTGAGCACATGGTGACCTCACAGGGGAACAAACACCCTCGACTCCCTCCCTCTGATTTCTACTTGCCATTGGCCAAACCCAACCGGAAGCCAGAGGGCTCAGGAGCACAATGACATCATCCACAGGTCAGTCTCTCAGGGACCAGAGCAGGGGGAAGAAGGGTAGAAATTGGATCTGCAGAGGCAGAAGGATGATATCCAGCACATGGTACATTCATTCATTTGACAAACATTTACTGAGCATTTGCTGTATGCCAGGCATTCTGCTAACCAAAGATAAGGATGAATGAGTCAAGATTCCTGGTCTTCAAGTTGGAGGTAGGGAGGAAGCAGGTAGACACATGTAAATAAGCATGAAACAATTGATAAATGTTATAAAATATCAACAACAGGCTGACTCTGGCAGAAATCCCTGGAAGCTTGTGAAGGTTAATTCTAGGTGTCAACTTGGTTAGATGAAGGAATGCTGAGAAACCTGGTAAAGCAATCTTTTCAGGTGTGTCCATGAGCAGAGATTAGTATGAGAGTCTGAGTGGCCTGGGTGTGAAAGACCCACCCTCAGTGGGGGTGGGAAACATCCAATCCGCTGGGGGTCCGGAGAGAACAAAAGACAGAGGAAAGAGGTGAAGCTCTCTCCATCCGCTGGAGTTGGGATATACTTTTCTCTCCTGTCCATGGACATCAGAGCTGGAGAATCTTCAGCTTTTGGGTTCCAGAACTTACACTAAGAACACCATCAGCTTCCCTGGTTCTGCGGCCTTTGGACTCGGACTGAGCCAGGCTACCGGCATCTGGGTTATAGACGGCCTGTCGTGGGACTTTTCTTCATAGTCACGTGAGCTAATTCCCCTAATAAATCCCTCTCATATAATTATAACATATCCTATTGACTCTGTCTCACTGGAGAGCCCTGACTAATACAAAGCCCTAAGAGTACGAAATACTCAGAAAAAATACCTTTGGAAGTAAAGGATTCTTGAATGTTTACTTAAGGGCAAGGGTGGCATATACCACTGGCTACTTCCTCATCAAATAGTTTTTGATAATCTGAGCAGGAAACAATAGCAATCTAAGTAAATATTCTTTTTTTTTCCGTGTCCAGCAACGGATCGGTAAATTAAAAAATTTCTCAGAAAAAGGCTGTAATAAATCCTATCCACTCTACTTCCTAAATACCCATGTGATCCTTTCCCCTTCTCTCCATCACCATGTCTCT